TGGTTTTGTTTTTCAGAAAGTGTCTATAGCTCTTCCTCTCGTTTGTGAAAGGTAGCATGGTCAACTTCAATTTACCAAACATAGGGTGGTTAGAGTTGCTTTCAAAAAATATTTGGTGGAATCTCAGTACAAATGCCTACCCTGAATTCACTGCTGTAGAGATGCACTGCTATGCTCTTCTGGCACCAGAACCCAATCCCAGCTCCCAGGCCTCGGAGGAGCCTCCGCTGGAAGGAGACCCCCCGCAGATGGAACTGCAGATGAGGGCCTGAGCAGCAGACCGATGTCCTCAGTAAAGGGACCCGGACAGGGACGCGCCCCGGGTGCGCACCACGTAAGGCTGCAGTGACCTGCCTTAGCCCAGGGAGGACTGGCAGCCGGAGAGGCCGGGCCCAGACCCGCCCAGCGCCTTCCGAGGGAGCACGGCCCTGCTGGGCCGACCTCATCCCGCCCCCGCGGGAGGCACTGCTGGTACCTGTCCCTGGTTTCAGCCGCGGGTTGGTGGTATTCGTTATGGCAGCTCTAGCAAAGCGCCACCACAGGCCCTGCTCTGCGTCACCGGTGTCACAGGGGGTCCGCCCGAGACTGACCAGACGGGACCCCCTGTGTCAGGCCGGGTCAGTGCCGTCTGCCTGGGCCACCGAGCCTGGCCAAGGCCAAGGCTTGTCAAGCCTTAGCAACCTGGTTTTTAACGCGTGATGAGCTCTTATATATGCACCAATGTAACCAACACTCAGGTCAAGATATAGAACCTTCCAGCATACCAGAGGGCCCTGGGTGACCCAGGGTGCCTGCCCCTCACCCCACGTCCCAACAGCGCCACTATTCTGACTTCTGCCAGCAGTAGATTTGCCTGTACTTGACTTCATGTAAGTGGAATTCCACAGTGTGTTCCCTTTCAGGTTGTTTCCCCCCAATATCGTTCATAAGATTGATGTGTCTTGGCCCTGGCTGGGTGGCTCATCGTCCGGACACGCCAAGGCTGCAGGTCCGCTCCCCAGTCAGGGCACATACAAGAATCAACCAATGAGTGCATAAGTGGAACAACAAGCCCATGTTTCTCTCCCCCGCCCCCCACTCCACTTCCACTCAAATCAATTAAAAAGAAAAAGATGGATGCGTCTTGTTGACTGCAGCTGTCATTCATTGTTTTTCAATTGACAAGTAGGACAGCATTCCACTGTACAAATGTATCACATGGATGGACATTTACATTGTTTCCGATATATTTTTAAAAAATGTTTTGATTGATTTTAGAGTGGAAGGGAGAGAGAGATGGAAACATCAATGAGAGAGAGACATTGATCAGCTGCCTCCTCATGCCCCTGACCGGGGATCGAGCCTACAACCCGGGCATGTGCCCTGACCCGGAATTGAACTGGTGAACTCTTCATACATGGCTTGACACTCAACCACTAGGCCACACTGGCTGGGCTGTTTCCAATATTTGGCTTCTATAAATAAAGCTGCTATAAAACATTCTTGAATATGTCTTTTGTCAAACACATGCACTGATTTCTCTTGGAGTAGAATTGCTGGAGTTCATATATTTTTTACTTTAATAGGAATCACCACAGTTTTCCAAAGTGGTTAAACCACTTTACACCTCGCCGCCAGCTCGCATGAGCACAGATTGCCCTGTATCTTTTTTTTTTTAATATATTTTATTGATTTTTTTACAGAGAGGAAGGGAGAGAGATAGAGAGTTAGAAACATCGATGAGAGAGAAACATCGATCAGCTGCCTCCTGCACATCTCCTACTGGGGATGTGCCCGCAACCAACGTACATGCTCTTGACCGGAATCGAACCTGGGACCTTTCAGTCTGCAGGCCAACGCTCTATCCACTGAGCCAAACTGGTTTCGGCAATTTCCCTGTATCTTGATATTGTATTTTTATGCTCAGACATGGTGGGTGTGTAGTGGTGTCTCCTTGTGGTTTTAGTTTGCATTTCACTGGGTAAGGTTGTTGAGCACCTTTTCATATACCTATTGTCCATTTGTACCTGTTTGAGTCTTTTGTCCATTTAGAAAAATTGGGATGTTTATCTTTTTCTTATTGATTTGTAATTCTTCATATATTCTGAATGAATTTTTTAATAAAGTTTTATCTCACCAAAATTTTATGCACACACCCGTACCAATAATCACTTGAGTTTGAAATTAATTTTGATCTTATTAATTAAATAAAGGCAACTTTTTCTGACTTAGAAAATGACCCCCCCCCCCCCCA